GAAAATATACATAACCAAAGATACACCATTTAAAAAATTTCTACATGCACAATTCAGTGACATGGAGTACGTTCTTCCAGTTATGCTGCTATTCTCACTTTAGATGAAGGTTTACAGAACAAAATAGTTTCTCATTAAACAGTTAGTACACATATTGCCCAATGACAATGGTTAAGAACCCCACTACATGTCAATACTTTCCTTACTGTCCTTGGGTTCTCTATCACCAGCTTTCCTGTCCCCTTCTGCCTTCTAGTCCTTGTCCCTGGAATGCTGTGCCTCATTAGTCCCGTTTTGTTTTATGGGGCTGTCCAATCCCCAGCTTAACGGTGAACCTCGGAGATGACTTCACCACTGAGCTAAAACGGTGTCCGGGGGCCATACTCTTGGGGTTTCCCCAGTGTCTGTCAGGCCAGTAAATCTGGCCTTTTTGTGTGTGTTAGAATTTTGTTCTACATCCTTCTCCAGCTCTGTCCAGAACCCTCTGTTGTAATCCCGGTCAGAGCAGTCAGTGGTGGTACTCGGGCACCATCCAGCTGTACTGGACTCAGTCTGGTGGAGGCTTTAGTAGCCGTGGTCCATTAGTCCATTGTACTAACCTTTTCCTTGTATCCTGCTCTCTTCATTCTCCCTTGCTCCCAAAGGGGTGAGACCGTGGAGTATCTTAGATGGCTGCTTACAGGCTTTTAAGACCCCAGACGCTACTCACCAAGGTAGAGTGTAGAACAATGTCTTTATAAACAGTGTTATGGCAATTGAGCTAGATGTTCCCCAAGTGTTCTGGTCTTTTTTGCTCCAGGCATTTGGGTATCATTTTTAGAAAACTGGGATACATTGTACATACTTTGTTAATAACCTGTTTTTTGTTGTTGTTGTTATTTTAAGCAATATTATTAGGAATTTTCCCATCTTATTAACTATTATATTGAAACAATTTTTAACAGCTATTAGTATTTTATAGTCTAGCTATATAATAATGTATGTAACCAATTCCCTAGTTTAGGACATTTGGGCCATTTCTAATTTTTCTTATTATAAATAATGTGATAAATACATATAAATCATTCTGCTCATTTCCCAAGAGCATATTTAAAGCATTTGGCTTCAAGAACGTATTTATGCTCAAACTGTCCTCCAGAAAGACTGTGGAGGGTAAATATGACACTGAAGAAGAATTAACAGACAACCATATGGTCAGGTTTATGAGTTTAAAAGCCTAAATCATCACAATTAGATCATATCCTACGTACTTCTGCTATAATGGAATTGTGTCATGTTGAAAGTGCTAAAAATACGTAAGGTTAGAGGTTGAGTATTTTGTTACACTGTAATATAATTTGACCTGTATTATTTTCTTGCCCATATTTATGGGCCAAAGACTGTACACGAGGGCTACCAGAGCCCAAAATCTTTTTCTCCACCCTGTGCCTTCAGAGAATGAATACACTCTTAACTAATTAAAGGCTCAAGATAAATAATGACACCAATTCCTTTAGAGATCTCAACAAAATATTCTGAATCTTCAGGAAGATAGAGGTGACTTGTGCCCAGTAATCCCAAATTTGTATTCCTAAGCAGTATCAATCATAAAATAATAATTACAGTTTGGAAAGAAATAATAAATACTAAAAGTTTTAAATATAGATGGAATAAAAATATATGAGCAGAACATTTTCTTTATAAACTATGTTATGAATGGCAAATTTTTTTAAAAAATGACAGTTATAACTGGGTAAGCTCTTCCCCTCTGACAACTCTCAATTAACATCATTTGTGAAGCAGCTCATTTATAACAGTGGTTCACATTAGAATCACCTAAGAAGTTTTAAAAATTCCAATGCTCAGGCTACACACTATACTATTAAATCAAAATCTTCAGTATTTTTTTAAGTGTCTGGATGATTCCAATGCAGCAAAGATTGGAACAATCCTCAAGTTTAGAATTAAGTAATTCATTCTTTGCAATTAGGCACAAAATATGATTTTAAAATAACTACAAACAACACACAAACAAGATCAAGAATATCTCTTTTCTGTATAAAATATCCTGACTTTCTAGAACTTTTAACATTTTAATGCTTTAATATTACCAATGCAAATTTTTCTCATTTTTAGAATCTTACAGTAAAAACAGAGAGAATCAACTGATTGAAAAAAATCTATTTCCAATCTTAGGGCAATCTCATGTCATACAAGAGAGTTTCTTCTAAACTGTTTAAACACAAAGCTAGCCACAATAACAACACCACAATGCTTTGAAATATTCAATGCTGTTATTGTTAAATACACCTATTTTAATAAGGACCTTTCTTTTCTAGAAATGCAAACATATGGCCAAAAGAGAGAAGAGCATGACATTTTAAACGATTTCATCTGGGATAGCAGAATATTAAAAAATTAACTTTCCTAGCTTGTGATTTCTCTATCCTGGTCCTCTAACGACATCCATTGGAGAATACTGATAATTGCTTATGACGTAGTTTCTGTATCTAGGATCCTGCCAGACCACTTCCTTTAATAATCTCTGAACTACAGCCTAATATTATTCAATTAGAATCCAAATAGAATAATAGATTTTGCTTTTATTCAGTCTCAATATTTTATTAAAACAAACAAAACCTCCCCTCCCTTGAATATCCCTTCTATATATTATTTTAATTCAGGTGGAGAAACAAAGCTATGAGGAAATTTTAAAATTCATTAAACTTCAAACAATTGAAATCAGAAATCACCTCCTTGAAACGACAAATAGGCAACACAGCTGAAAATCTATTTTATTACAACGAAAGGTTGTAAAAAGTGTAGTCTCATTTTTGTTTTTTATTAAAAAGAAGTTAGTTAATTTAAATCCTTTGCCCACAAGGCCATGCCTGTTTCACCCACAGCAGCTGTTGCTCTTGCTGTTAGCTGCCATCGAGATGATTTTGACTCATGGCAACCCAAGCGTGTCAAAGTAAGCTGTATTCCATGGTTTTCAAGGCTGTGACCTTTCAGAAGCAGATCACCATGCCTATCTCTCAAAGCACCTCTGAGTGGGTTCAAACAGCGTTTTGGCTAGTAGTTGAGTGCTTAATCATTTGTACCACACATAGTAGTTATTGTTATATTAATCCAAATTATTTTAAACTGTATGCTCTATAAAATACTATAGTTACAGACTGGTTCAAATCTCATCTTCTCTGTGAATTCCTTCTTTGAATACTCCAGACCACTGTGATTTTTCTCTCATCTTTCAGTGCTATAATATACATTTATGATTTAGTCATATATTGTCTTTAAATATCTTATAACCATAACTATAGTGACAGTATACACAGGGAGCTACAGGTTATACATATTGTTGAGGAAAATGTCAGTTTTTGACAAGATAAATTTGATTCACTCTTCTATCCACTGAAAGTACACCATCCCAAGATTTATTTCAGAAATATGTTGGTAAGACTAAAGTTTTTTTTTAAGTCTTCATCAAAGAGGCCAATGTAAATTCTCTAACTGGTATTTTCTGGAAAACATACTGGATAAAATCATATAATAAAAACTATGATCTGGTCAAATGTATTGTTGTTACTTAGCATGAAAGAAAGGGGTAAGGAGAAAGAGGGAGGGGAGAAGGAAGGCGGGAGGGAGGGGAACAGAGAGAATGAATAAACAAATAAAAAAGGAACAAATGATCTTGGATAGAATTAATTTGTAAACTGTTAACCAGCACAGCCTACGAGAGAGACTCACTCCCCATTTAGTTTCTCAGACAGTAAGTAACAATGAGTACAGTCATGTGCCACTTAATGTCCATGGAACGTATGTTATGTGAAACAGGACGCTAAGTGATTTGGGTTACGAATGTCTGACTTACGGACAACTCGTAATTAAGAACGGAGTGCCATAAAGCCTATTACATTAAAAATTTGAGTTAAATATATACAATGGTTTGCAATTACAAATGCACGCACTACTTTGTGATACTCATGAAAATACTGCGCGGTTTGGAAGTGTTTCTTAAGTGTTACATCTGCTACATCCAGTTCTCTGATCGGATTTCTGAACTCTATTATAACCTTATGAGACCACAGATGTGTATATGGTTGGATGCTGCCTGAACGGATGTTATGCAGCACCTGACTGCACTCTATTTTGATCTTGGAGAAAACTTAATCTCCCATTATCAATCAAGAAACGGCTTTTCTCAATAAGAGATCATTATCAACCTTTGGTTTTTCAAAGCAAAAGTTCACTTTGCGTGAACTGATAAAATCAACATTTTGAAATTTATCAAGCTGAAGACTAATCTCTGGACATATAATGGCTCCATAAAGCCTCTACGGGAAGCATGTCTTTAGGACCTAGTCTAAGCAGAATTCTTATGTTTTTCTTTGTAGCAACAGCTCACAAATCAACGTTCTTGTATCATTACTGACTTTTTCATTTGTATTTTCAGCTAGATGATAAGCTAAATGTGGGCAAAGTACTGTATCCACAATAGTGTCTAGTGTTTTAGGCATTTAATCATTTCTTACTAAATATTAGCCAAGTGATTAATTTGCAGAGCGCTGGTGACGCATGGTTAAGAGCTTGGCTGCTAATCAAAAGGTGAGCAGTTTGAATCCACCAGCTGCTCTTTGGAAACCCTACAGGGCAGTTCTACTCTCTCCTACAGGGTCGCTATGAGCCAGAATTGACTAGACGGCAAATGGGTTTTCAGGGTTTTAAGTGATTAATTAAATAAGAACCCTTATCTCATCTTCCAGGAACCCTGGTGGTGCAAGGATTAAGGGATCGGCTGCTAACTGAAAGGTCAGTGGTTCAAACCCACTCAGCGGTTCCACAGGAGAAAAGACCTTACAATATGCTGCCATAAACATTATGGCCTAGGAAACCCTATGGGGGCAATTCTACTCTGTCCTATAGGGTCACTATGAGTCAGAATCAATTCAAAGTCACAAACAATAACATTTTACCTTCCTTCACCTGTCATCTATGAGCAATCTTAGTTATCAGTGAAACTTCACAGCATTCTTTTAACCCACCAGTTCTCTATCATGCATTCATTGAACCAATTACATATTATATTTCAGGATAAGTGAACTATTTAAGATGTTTACCTTTGAGCTTCTCCCACATGAGCACAGATAACCCCAAAGAGCTTGACTGCAGAGCTAATAACTGACAGTGTTGGAGGTAGGGGCTTAGGCACCGAATCTCCCTCTACATCTTTCTCATATATAGAATAAGGGTCATACTCGAGACTTCCACAAGCAACACCATTACCAAGCAGAAGCTAAAATGAAAAAATGGTATATTAGGCTTCTAAATCACTGTTTATAGACTAAATCTACCTAAGAATTATAAAAAATAACCATACCTGTTCTTCAATAAATCTATGGTCAGTCTCTTGTAGCAAAGGACTAAATATCAAGAGATCATCCTGATGACAGAGGGGTGGAAGTAAAAATGTGGATGCTGCCACTTGGATATCAGGGGCAGTCAAATCAGCAGCCAGCTCTTTGAGTACAGCACAGAGGTTTCCTGTTGAAACAGAGAAAAACAGTAATAAACAATTTAGTACTAGCTGTTATCTGATTAGAGTATAGGGTTAAAAAAGCCCAGTTTGAGGCTTTAATACACACATTGGCCACCTTTAATATATCATAGCCAAAGATTATATTTCTCATCCCTGAAAACTGAAATGAATGGTTCAACTATGTGCTGCTGTCTCCAAGGTTGACCAAGAATGTCTACTGAAAAGACATCTCAAAGTAAATGCGTTAAATACCTTATGACATTGTGTAAATACTACCATGATTCTAAATAAAGTGTTACTGGTTACAAAAATAGATAAAGTATAAATAAATACAAAGTAGATAAATTATATTTGTTTAAGAACATATGCCTAAAAAAATGCACACGCGTTATAACTTTTTTTTTTTAATGGAGAATTTCAAACATATGCAAAAGCAGACATAACAGTATGATCCCTCATATGTTCTTCAGCAGCTGCATCAATCTTGTTTCACTTTACACGCATCTACTATTCCACCCGCCTTCATATTATTTTGAAGCAAACCCTAGACAGCATATCATTTCATTAATAAATATTTCATTGCATATTACTAAAGCTAAGGACTCTGTATTTCAAACAAAATCCTAGTATCATTATCTCATCTTTCAAAAAAGCCCTAAACATCAAATATCCATCCCATATTCAAACTTCCAATTGTCTCAGAAGTGCCTGTTTTTGTTTGCATGTATGTTTGAATTGAGTTCCAAGTAAGTTCCACACATTGCAGCTAGTTGATACATCCCAAGTCTCTTTTAATCTAAAACTCTCCCTCAACATTTGTTTTCCTTGCAATTTATTTAAAGAAAGAAGGTTCTTTATTGTGTAGAACAAATGAAGGCTAAATGAAGCAAATAAGAATGGCTCTAAGGGATGTCTTTAAGCAGAGAGATAAATCACAGACAAAATAATTTTGTTGGCAGTACTAGAAGTTTCCACAGTGTGGACTGTTAACGATTACACCCTCTACATGTAGTTGAATCTAGATGATTAATTTGATTTTTTTTTTTTTGAGTGGGGAGAGGACAGTAGGCCACTTCATAGGTGGTGGTGTTCTTCCATAAGGATGCATACACATTACATACACATTTTGGAAATTGGCTTATCACACTGGCCTAAACTATCATTACAAAGATGTTTTATCCTAATTTCCATGGAGTTTCAACAGCAAATTTTCTCCATATAGAGCATAAAAAGAGTTTTTGCCCGTTTGTAATGTAAGTCCTTTAGGAATGAGTAAAAGTCACCTTAGAGAAACAATCACTTCTGCAAGTGCATCAGGATGAAATGAGGACTGGGGCGACGTCTACTTATTAGAAGTGGGAGGATGAGTTAGATAAGAAGGGTTCACCTGCGATCATTTTCTATGTCATTAGTAAGAACAAATATTTATAGAGAACTTAATGTGTCAGGAATGTTTAAAGCTTTACATATAATCCTCATAATAATCTCATGTGGTTGATACTAATGCTTATTAGTACTATCATTTTATAGATGAGGAAAGAGGAACAGTTTGCTAGTTGTCTGAGATTACACAGCATTTATATGGCAGAGTCAGAATGAAACTCAGGCTAGACTCCACAACTTGAGATTTTAACCATTATGCTCATTCATTCATTAAAACTCTGTGTAAGATGCTACGGAGGAAGAAAAAAATTATTTAATCCTCCTTTTAAGAACCTATAAAATATGGGACACGAACACACATATACAACTAAAATAGAAAGGTAGGAAGTACTGTTTCATAAAAGATGACAAATGAAATACAGGTAAAGTCCAAGAAAGGAGAGATTATGTACAGGAACTGTGAAGGCTAAATGAGCAAATGAGAGTGGCCCAACTGAATGTACAGAATATTTAGCAAAATAATTTTATGGGTAGTATAACATGCAAGGGATGTTTGGTACTACAGTAAAGTGTGAAAATTGTGGTAAATCTCTACTTCTCAGTTAAAGTGACTACAACATAACTGCCCCTGGACAATTAAAGACAGCTGGATTTTAAAATGTAAACATCCTTTTGTTATAAAAAATCATCATTGATATTTTGAAGGTAATGAGATATTCTCAGTGTAGAGAGAATATTAAAATGTTTGAAAGAAGATTCCTATCAAAAACTAAGGTAACAAATACAAACTAAGAACCCAATATTTACCTCACAAGATTAAAAAAAAAAAACAAATTCATTATTATGATGAAAGTCTGCATCTGCTGGACAATGAAGAAAAGTTATTTAAATTCTTAAATATTTTCTATGTAACAAAGGAAATTTCTTACTGTTTTGTAAACTTATTTTTTGACAATCCAGTGTAGCAACTGATAACAAAACTTTAAAGTTTTGTTTTGTGACTTCGCTATCTTTTCCAAATTAATTTTGGTTGTTAGGTGCCGTGGAGTTGGTTTCAACTCATAGCGACTCTGTGTACAACAGAACGAAACACTGCCTGGTCCTGCACCATCCTCACAATTGTTATGTCTGAACCCACTGCTGTAGCCACTGTGTCAATCCATCTCACTGAAGGTCTTCCAAATTAATTAGATAAATAAATTTAAAGACTATTATTTCCTTTTGTACTAAAGATTTAGAAATTTCTATAGGTGATTACTGTATTATGAGCTATGTTATTCAAAATGCCAACTGATGTTTTAATGGTAAAGTTCTGGCTATTGTGCTGTACATACGTTATATAAATCTATTAAATTAAATTTAAAAATCTTTAAAAAAAACTCAGAAGTCCTTAAGAAAAAAATTCTTAATTCCCATACTAGACTTGTTTTCCATTCTTTTAGCGGTAAAGATGGAAAAAAGATGAACTGGCAAAGTTATCCTCAGTTGAATCATAAAAATTTTAAAACATTAATTCATTTTTCTATAAACTATTTTTCTTCTTTAATTCATATTAGAAAAACAGACACACTTGAAAAAGACAGAGAGTGAATTTAGATTTTATTTTTTCCATGAAGTTTATATTAAGTGCTGATTTTGTCTCACCCTGAAACTAACTTAAGATACATGTGCTTATATATATATTATTCCTTTAGGACTCCTGATTGCATCCCAAACTCCAATTCTAAGAAAACAGCACAAGACATTTTTTCCTTTCCCTAATTAGTCCTTCAGGATAGACTCAGATGATCATTTATCAGAAGATACACTGTATATTTTAAGTTGACCTTCTTGTGTTTGGCTAAGAGAGACCAATGTAGTTTAGTATTCCTGTATGTTTAATAAAGGCTTGAAGAAAGAAAATCTATTTTTTCATCTGTAGTTTGAAAATAAATTTCAAAAATACTATGGTAAAAATTGATGTGAAAATCTGAGGGGAGAGAAATGAAGTCCTGATACATGCTACACCATGGATGAACTCTGAAAACATTATGCTGAGTGAAATCAGTCAGTCACAAAAGGACAAACATCATATAATCCCGATTATATAAAATATCTAGAATAGGCAAGTGTATAGAGATCAAAGTTTATTAGTGGTTACCTAGGCGTAGGTATGAGGGAGGGGGAAAGGAAGACACAGGGCTTATGGGACACAGAGCTTATGTTAAGGGTAATGGAAAAATTTGGGAATGGTTAAATGTGATGGTTGAACAATGTGATGAATATAATTAATGTAATGAAAAATATAATGAATGTAATTAGCGTCACTGAACTGTACATGAGAAGATTATACAAATGAAGATGTAGAAATGGCAAATGTTCTGTTAACCTATATACTTACCACAATTAAAAATTTTTGTTTTAAATCTGAGGGAAATGATTTTTGCTACAATCTAATAGCTACCTGAGCGACGGAATACAGGAATATCCCTAAGCTTTTCCACAGATACCTAACAGGTAACTTTAATGTTGAGAGACAGCACAGAAATGAGACAGACTTATCACTAAACTCTGACTGTTTATTAGGCCTCTAGTTGGTTACTTCTAAATAGAGAGGTAGCACAGCATATGAGACAGACCTATGTTTTAATCTTCATTCTACCATTCATTGGATATATGTTCTTGAGTTGGTTACCTTTCTGAGCCTTTATCTGTCAAATGAGGAAAATGTAACTAACTCATTGTATTGTTCTAAGAATAAATGAGATATACTATAAATATAACATCTAGCACAGAGCCTGGCACACAGAAATCTTTTTTTTTTTTCGTTACAGTTTCTGAGAAATAGCAATATATTAATTCAATTCTTTAGAAGTATATCCTGATGCTTACTTTATGCCAAATACTTTTCTAGGTACATCGGTGAAGCAGAAAGAGAGCCAATGTGAATAATATCACTCATAATGATAAAGGCCAGGATAAGAGTTTTAAGTTAATATTTTGAACAAATATGGTACATATGATACTGTACTTATTTGCAGACAAAGAATATAAGCAAATACAGTATCTTTATAAGAAATATATTTGAAGTAACATTTAACTTAATATAGTTTGTTGAAAATTACTAAGACTAAAAAATATAGAAGTTCCCAGATAAGACAATTATCAACTTTAACCTCTTAAAACTAGTATCTTGAATTATTCAGTACTAGAAGTAATATATTCTCTTAAAACTGTAATTTAAACTTGCAAGCAAGATTTTAAGACTAATTCTAAATTAGGGCAAGTCTATTTCACTAACTACAGTATTCCAGTAATCCAAAGTCATCTTTGAGCCTACTAAGACTGCAAACTACATTATAAACTGTATATAATCAATTATACTTTGGAAGTTCAATATTAAAATTTCTATCTGGGTGGACAATAAATAATCACTCTAGAGGGGAACAGGAATGGTCAAATTCCTAGTTTCTATTTCTATTAGACCATATTTCTTAACAGATTGCATTACATATTCTTAAAAAAAAAAATTCTGGAGTACAATCAAAGTCAGCCGTTGAGAATCATTCTCCCCTACACAGCAGAGCTAGGGACTTTCTTCCCAGAAGAGAGAGAAGAAAGCAAGACATCAGTAGGGTTTAAAAAGAAAAAATACACATACACACATATTATTTACTGTAATATGTTGAACACATGGATTACAATTGAGCAAAATTACCTGAACCTCCTGGAAACAAGGCACTAAATAAATGTCATATAATTAATTAATTACTCAGTGATGACTGCTTTCCAGGCACTGTGCTAGCCACAAATAAGAAAACATTTTGGTCTAAGGCACATACCTTCATACGTTTCAGGAGGTAATAAAATCAATAGTTCATAAAGCCTTTGTCTATAAACTACTGATGGTGTTTTCAAAGGACTTCCATATGTTTTTAGTATTGAAGTAAGCCTTAAAATAAAAGAAAACGTATATCTTAAGTGGGTAAGTTATGTAACAATGTACAAATATTGAACAGGTTGGATATAAACATAAATTAGCTATACATATTATTCAAACTGTAAAAAACCAAATCCATCGCCGTTGAGTTGATTCCGACTCATAGCAACCCTACAGGACAGAGTAGAACTGCCCCACAGGGTTTCCAAGGAGCAGCTGGTGGATCTGAACTGCCGCCCTTTTGGTTAGCAGCCAAGCTCTTAACCACTGCACCACCAGGGCTCCGTTGTATGTATTATTAGTGAACATTAAATTAGTGCTACTTTATTTTACTTTCTTAAAAATAAGGTATAAGATGTAAGACAGATTACAAGTGTCATACATGGAAATCATTCTAATAACTTTTCTATCATACTTAATTTAAAAAAAAACTACATTCAGCTTAGATTTCAAAGGTCACAAGGACATTGTTTAGAAACAAAAACCTACTAAATCTCAAAATTTACATCTTGGCATTTGTAAAACCAACATCTATTTATTATACAGAAAAGTAATCAGCCAAACAAATAAACAAAAATAAGGAGACGCAAATACAGAGAAAAACCCAAGCACTGTTAGAAACTAGATGTGGAATGCCACCACCAAATAAGATGAATCACCAAAATACACAAAATCACAAAACAAATTCTCTTTCACTAAAGTACAAACTGAGTCAATGTTTACCAAAAGTTCCATTCACAAAATCTTTTTCTCCTTTCTTCACTCTCTCCTTTCACCTTCATGTATTCTTCTTTCCCTTCTGTCCACTTTCACTATGGTGTTAACATATCACTTTACTGATATCCATTCATCTAACAAATATCTATCAAAGGCCTACTCTTTGCAAGTCACCATGTTATCAACTGAGCTATTGTTTCCATCTCTTTTAGCAAGACAGAAACTGAATGGAATTACTTTTATTCTTTCACTGGAATAAATCCTCTCTACGCTCATGGATTCTAAGTTAAGAAAATCTGACATTTATTCACCTGTATGTTCTAGAGAATGATTGCTATTCTAGTTTCTAGAAGAAAAGTTACCTATTGACTAGCCTTTTTGTAAAAAAAAGTTGGGTCTCTTTTATATCTTTCAGCTTGGTAAACACACAGAAAACATTTATAAAATTTGGGTAGAATTTTTCAGTGATGGAATTTAAGAATAAATTCATTGCATTTTTGTGTTTCTCTAAAACCAGATCAGAAAACTACAGCTAACACATAAAAACTATTTCAGTCATATCAATAAGATGTTAAGAAATTTTAAATTACATTTTAAAAATATCAGCAATATTCCTTTGGTTTAAATACAATAAAATTTAGTTCAAAGGGATGTGTATTTTTTAAAAAGAAAGGAACATGAATAGAACAAAAGAATTTAGAAAAGCACAGTATTAGGTACTATGTGTGGACAAAAGCATCCCTAAGAGGTTTCTGTTTCCATTAGGAGGGCAGATTAGAGTCTCTGAAGGGCCTTCCTGCTACTGAGATGCTGTATAAAAGACACTTTGCATTGCTAGGCTTGCAGAAAAGGACTTTTCCAAAGCCAACCTCCCCTGCCCCAATTAAAGCGAATGCACAAACAAAAACATAAAATAATGAGCTAAAATCAGAGTAGGAATACAAATACCACATCTGAGACTCGGCTTGCGCCCCTGGCAAACTAGGGGTGATAAAGTGGTGCTTCCTAAAGGGGGCTACAGTGGTCTCAGGTCCTGGCACAGGCAAAAGCGTATCATATTAGACTCAGCTGAAAAGAGAATTAGTAAACTGGAAGACAGAGCTGAAGAAATTACCCAGAATGTATCAGGGAGTCAAAGAGATCAAAAATATGAAAAGGAGACTAAGAGACATGAAAGACAAAATGAAAGGTCTAAAATTCGTCTATTCAGAGCCTTGGAAGGAAAGTTTTGAGAGAACAGGTAAAATTTAAGGAGATAACAGCTGATTTTCCACAACTCTTGTTAAGGTATAAACCCAACAAAATGCATACCAAATAGGATTTAAAAAAAAAAAAAAAGCTACAAGTTGCCAATTAAAAGACAAAGAAATCTGTTGCCATCGAGTCAATTCTGACTCATAGCAACCCTATACAACAGGGTAGAACTGATCCATAGGGTTTCCAAGGAGCAGCTGGTGGATTTAAACTGCCAACCTTTTGGTTAGCAGCCTGGCTCTTAACCACTGTGCCAGCAGGGTTCCAAATTAAAAGCCAGACATTGTCAAATTCAATTTTTAAAAATCCAACAAAGTGCAGTTTATAAGAGACCACCTAAAACACAGTGACATGGAGAAAGACACAGCACACATATATTAATCATAAAGATTAGACTTCAATCAAAAAGTATTACTAAGGATAAAGAGTTACTAGATAATTCAATTCATGAGAAAGATATAATTCTAAACTTCTATGTACCTAATAGTCTCAAAATATGAAAAAGCAAAAATTAATAAAACTATAGGGAAAAATTAACAAAGCCACCTTAGAGTGGAACATTTTAACACATCACTCTCAATTATTGATTAGTTAAACAGATAAAAAATTAGTGAAGATACCACAATGGAACTTTTTAAAAAACATATTTGCCACTGGAAAAGTCTCAACTAATTAAAAAAGATAGGTAACATACAGATCATATTCACTAACTACAATGCAATTAAGTTAAAATCAGTAACTAAACCATAAATTAAAAAAAATTCATATTCCATACATTTGGAAATTAAAAAACATACTTCTAAACAACTCAAAGAAATTTTAATAACAGTTTTGAGATTCAGCAACCGAGACTTAAAAAAAATTTATGGTCTTACATGCTTATATTAGGAGAGAATTAAGATAAATTCAATGAGCTAGGCATTCAATTTGAAAAAGAGCTTAAGAAAACTTAAGAAAGCAGAAAAGAGATAATAAAGAACAATAATCATAATATCTGCCTGGATCCCTTATTAATAATGAGTCAAATAAAATACTTAACACATGAAAAAGAACGAATAATCAACAAATCAGAAAAATATCAGCCTAACCCAAGTTATTCCCTCTAAAGATTAATAAAATAGATAAACCTCTATGTGTGATGAATCAAGAAAAACAAGAGAAGGCATAATAAAAGATAATTGGAGTGGAGAAGGGGACATTATAGGTATAGCACAGGTTAAGATGAGAAGACTTTATGCTGAAAACTTTGAAGATGTAGATGAACTGGGAAAATTCCTAGATAAAAGTATCTTGCCAAATTTGAGTCAAACAAACAAAGAAATAAAAACAAAACAATTAAAAAAAAGGACCTTAAATAGTCAAAAACAATTAAGGAATGGAATTTATAGTTAAAAAATCCATTCATGATTAAAACAACAAACTTGACTGGTTAAGAGTAGATTACTTTCTTAGCCTTATAAAGATTATCTTAAAAAAAAACCTGTAGCAAACAGTATTCTTACTAGTGAAACATAAGAAATATTCCCTTCAACCAACCACTTGTATTCAGTTTTAAATGACAGTTCTCTAGTTAGCACATAAGGGAAGAGGAAGAATATAAATGAATGACTATGTATTGGATTAAAAGAAGAAATTAAAATAATCTACAGATAAATGTTTAGTACAGGAAATTTAGCAAGATGAGTAGACATAAGATCAGTTGCATTGTTATATACCAATAATAAAGAGAATTATATACACATATATTTAAATATTTACTTATTTTATAATAGTAATGGAAAATGTAAAGTACCTGGGAAAAAACTTCACAAAAGACATATAAGATTTTTATATAGAAAAAATTTGCATTTTACAAAAGTTCTAAATATTAGAAAAGAGGTATCGTGTTCACGAATATTGTAAAAATAACAGTTGTTTTCAAATTTATCTACAGATTCAAGGTAATTCTAATTAAAATTTCAACAGGAGAAGATAAACAGTGCAGGAAGGACCAAGATATGCCTAAAGAGGAATAAGATCAAAAAGCCTGCTCTAAAAGATACTAAAATTTATTATAAATTATTAATAAAAATAATGTAGTGTTGGTATAGAAATAAGCAAACGTATCAAAGAAACATAATAGACAGCACAAAAACAGATCATGTACATATGGGAATATTATACATGACAGAGGTGAATAGCAAATCACTAGGAAAAGTATGGATTTTTTTTTAGTAATGTATGGGAGAACTGGCTATCCATATTAAAAAAGACAATGAAATTGGATCCCTACCTTACTCCTAACAAAAAAATCAATTCCAGATGGATTAAAGACTTAAATGTAAAAGACAAACTAAACATTTTAGAGAGAAAAATAAGAAAATATCTTTGTAGTTTTTGAAATTACAAAATTCTTGAAAAATTTGACATTTAAATTAAGAACCTGCTTTAATCACACAAGAAAATATTTTTAATATTTTAACAACTGTCAAAAGATTAGTATCCAGAATATGTAAAGAATTCCTGTGAATCAATAAAAAAGGACAAATAACCTAATTTAAAAAATAGGTTAAAGATAGGCATTTCACCGAAGGGGTAACACTGAACAATAAACATATACAATAATACTTAAACCATTAGGAATCAGAAATACAAATTAAAATCACAATGGGATACCATTTTACACCTACTAGATGAACCAAAATCGATGTCTGAGTAAGTGTTGGCAAAGATGTGGATCAAAGGGTAGTCATGCACACTACTGGTAGAAATATGCGAGAACTTTGGAAAATAATTTGGTATTATCTCGTCAAGTTAAAAATAAAAATATCTTTTGACCTAGCAATTTCACTGGTAGGTGATATGAATAGGAATGCTCACATTAGCATTGGCTTTAATAGCAGAAAATTGAAAAGAACCCAGAAGTCCAATGACAGAAAAATGAATAAATTGTTGTATATTCACACAATTAAATATTATACAGCAACCAAAATGAATGAACAAACTCACACATGGATAAAGATTAGAAACATAGTGGCGAATGTAAAAAAGTAAGTCCCAGAAACTAACAATATTATACCATTTGCCTCATCAAAAACAAACAAAACTGAACAATGTATTGTTTAGGGAGACACGTGTGATAAAACTTTTTTAAAATGCAAGGGGACGACAACTATAAAATTTAGGATAGTGGTTACCTCTAAAGGAAGGTAGGAAGAATGGTATCAGAGAGGAGCACATGGATAACTTCAACAGTATTGTTAATGTTCTAGGGGTCAGCCAAATTCAGCCCACTGCCTGTTTTTGTAAATAAAGTTTTACTGGAGCACAGCCATGATCATTCATTTACATATTATCTGTGACTGTTTTTGAGCTACAATGAAAGAGCTGAGTAGTAGCACATCAAAGTCTAAAATATTTACTCATGTGGCCCTTTACAAGAAAAGGTTGCTGACCTTTGTTCTAGTTGTCTTAAATTCATAGGTGTTCGTTTTATTATTATGCTTTATAAGCCACTATAGCTTGATGTATTTTTCTGTACATGTAAAATATACCATAAAACAATTTTGGAAAAAACTTTCCCTAAACTACACATTTTATTAATTTGGAAATTACAATGCTCATGATATATACTGGGTTTTCTCTATGTTTTCTTATCATATTTGTTCAATTCAAACTTCTGAAAAACATAAACAAAAAACTGTAAACTGTTCACAAACATATGTTTCTTACAAACACAGAAAAGCAGTTATAAACCAATAAGATGCATACTTGAAAAGGTTAAGACTTAATATTTAATTTCTTGGTTAAATTTGACTCTATGGAAGATATACTATCCACCAAGTCATTTTCCTTCCCTTTTATGTTTTATTCTTTCAAGATCCTAACCTAAAAAACATACAACTAAATGATTGCTTTCCTTTGCAAAAGGAAAATCATTCACCAACCATAGAAACTTGGCCTCATTAATATACTTAAAAGATATTATGACAATTAGAGGGTTTGTGAAATTGAAATCTAAATAGCTGATCCTTACTGAGTCAGCAAATCCACAGCACAAGGAAGTGGTGGAAGAAGACGCTGAATTACTTCCTCAGTTAGGAGATCACCACAGTGGGAAACAAAGCTCTTGATAGCTGAAAAAGAGAACAGACTTTAACACAGCATAATGTAATCAACTGTGAAAAGAGCATTCAATTGCAGTACATCATTCACATTTTACTAGAAGAATAAAGAAATGTGTTAAAAACAAAAAATTATTGAAACTCTAGTATAAAAAGCAATGTCTAATACTACTAAAAAAAATCCCTATGATTACTAAAAGAGACCAATAAGCAAGTTAACAAAATGTTGCTTTCCTATGGTGTTACAGTACTTAGCCCTTCATTCAGCTCAGTAGTAGAAGAAATTAGCTTAGACTCTTAGTTTAGCTTAGATTTAGTTTACCAGTTCTGTGGAATCAGGCTAACTTTCGAGTTAACATGCTAGATTTTTAGAGGTTTAACACATTTGGAACACAGAAGTTTCTGTAAGAAGTTATTTCATACATAGAATAAAACAAATAGTTTGAAGTTAGACTGAATTTCAAGATCAATTTCAAAATTAATTTTTCTTTTTTAAGGGTATTAAAAATGCCATGAATCTTAATAAACAAAACCAAATTCACAGCTTCCAGGTCTTTCCAGGGATTCTCATCCCTCCTTAGTTCAGATTTTCATAGTGAAATACTATTTTTACTGGGTCTACATGTTGTAGAAGGTACAACTTTATCATTTAGACCAAATGAAAACCACACTTAACCAATGCTAATTAGATCAAACTCTACTGTTTTGAAAAGGAATGCCTACTTAAGACAAAGCAATGTCAAAATTTCACAAATGGATTGGATCTGATAAAACATGTATTATCCTAAAGATTAGACCTGAAATCTGGTTTAGTATATAATACTTCAGTTTATCATCACCAACTTAACAATTATGTTCAGTTACAAATATCACTAGAGGTAGATTTTTCCCCCCTTTACATTAAATGAAACATACAAGGATGGGTAAGCCAAAGGGTGGGAAAAATCCAAAGGAAAGAGAGAGAGAAGACTAAACTAAACCTACCACAGAGTGCACCAGCTCGTCCTTCCAAGGTTACCTGCCAGGTAAATGAATCTCCTCTGCTCTTCTCTGTTTCCAGATCTTTAGGAGATGCTGGAAAGACACACTTCCACAACAGCAGAACTCGAGCAAGGTGATGACTGACAACTGCAGGACCTGTAATTTATTCAACTTATCACTTGTAAAAGAACCAAAAACGTTACTCATTGAAACCCTATCATTAAGCAGGTACTTGTATCTTAAAATAAACATATTTTCATTCACTACTGCAATACACTGTCCATTTTCTTGCCTCAGTTTCTTTTACCTAAAAACGAAGATAGTACTATCTGCATGCACGGCTGTCTCCAAAGGTTTGTGACATCCAAATGATAGACTGCACTTTAAAATGCTTGAAAAACTCTAATGTACCAATAAATGCAAGGTACTATTACCAGCATAACAAGCAACACTGTATCCTTAGTCCAGAGCGTAATGCTAACTTTTGATAGGAACAAGTTCCAGGCCAAAAATCAGGTGTAATAAATCTGAATACTTTTTCTTTTTAAACATTTAAGAGAACAACATTTATGAACTGAGGGCTAGTATACAAACCTAGTAATCAAAGGCATTATATAATACACCACTTACTAGCTGTGTTCCTTGGATAATAACAGTACTTACCTCATAGGACAGTTTCTGGGCTTATATGAGTTTATATGTGTAACAGTTCATGGTAGGCATTTATATAATGCCTGATTATCATTCAAAAATCATTCAAAATATTTCCTTATTTGCATAGGAAAAGGTAAGAGCCTACTGGCAAAATGAAAGGGCAATTAAATCTTATCTCTTTCTCTGTCTCTCATACAATTTAGTAGATTAAAAAAAATAATTTCTCCATTTTTCTTCTGACTTGTTTCTAGCCATATGCTAATTTCTACAGCAAAACAAGCCTGATTCACCCCCTTACTAACTACTTTCTTTGATGAAATAGTACTAAAAAAACTGGAGTTGGATTAAAAGAAGGAAATTGGAGAAAGGTAATTAAGTGATAGTAAGAGGTTTGTGTTTGTGTATGTGTGCACACACATATATTCACATACAATCAGTTGTGGGAATAGAGAAAAATCTAAAAACAAAATTTAGTCAGATACCAAAAAAAAAGGTGTGGAATCACTGGGGGTACCCATAATTGAGAAAAATTTCACAAATATTTACCCTTGTACACTTAAGTTATCTCATTAACTTAATAATGGAGTGTAGAATCTCTTTCCTAGAGAGGTAAGAAGATAATGTCATTTCAGAGTTGAACAAAGTTATCAGAAATAAGTTTCCAGTAATCACGAAGTTAAAATATAAAGAGTAAGTTTATTCACACACAAGCACAATACTGTATCTAACAAAAACACTTGCACAAACACTACATCCACAGATACAAAAGACACAGACATCTGTAGGTGAATCAACGTTGTTTTATCAGATAAACTGGGAAGTACAGAAAAAGGTTAAAAAGCTGTAGTTCACATTTGAGGAATGGACTGAAATGTGGTTTACTTGAGTTTACACTGTTGTTGATCTGACTCATAGCGACCCCACAGGACAAAGGAGAACTGTCCCGTAGGGTTTCCCAGGAATAGCTGGTGGATCTGAACCGCCTACCTTCTGGTTAGCAGCATGAGCTCTTAACCACTATGCCACCAGGGCATAGTTCAGAATTATGAATATATTAAAAATAATGAAGAAAATGGTGAACTGATATCCTCTGAAGTTGCTAGGGTATTAATGCATTCTAGGCTGGAGTAAAACTGGTAATACAGGGAAAGAATAATACAGAATAAAAACGGAATAAAGTCCAAGAAAAAAGGATAAATTAAAAAAATTAAATAAAAATTTTAATCATTTTGGATACTGACTATGAATATGCAAGAAAAGATGATGTGTGAATCTTTTTTTAAAAGGAGAAAGGATCACTTGCAGTCTTCCTTCATTAGAATTACCTTATCTGGAAAACTTTTTTTAATCAAAATATTCTATTTATTAGGTAATTTATTTTCCCCTGTTACTCATCAAGAATATGGCAGGCATGAAACACTCAGCCAAAAGCAAAGAAAAGCTTGGTCACATTATTCCCACCACATTGTGAAATGATAATCTATGCCAGGGGCCAACAAACATTTTTTTGTAAAGGGTCAGAGAGTAATTATTTTAGGCTTTGTGAGAGCCCTATAGTCTCTATTACAATTACCCAACTCTGTAACTATAGTGACTAAAAGTCACAGATAATAGGTAAATGAACAAATGTGGATGTGCTCCAATAAAACTTTCACTTATGAACACTGAAATTTGAATTTCATATAATTCTCATGTGTCACAAAGTACTCTTCTTTTGTTTTTTCCCCCAACCATTTAAAAAGGTAAAAACCATTCTTAGCTCTTAGGTCAAATAAAAAGAGGCAGCAAGCCATATGTGGATCTAGTCCACATATGTCCACTAAATCTGGTCAATCATCTCAAGTATATTACTTAATGTAATTCTTCATTTATGATTGCTTATTTTAAATTTATGCTCCTTTTAGATCAAATTACTTCACAGGTATCAAAATGATTTGGCCAAATCCAGTCAATTTGTTTTTTGGGTTTTCTTTTTTTTATTTTGTTATTGTTGTTGTTGTTGAGAATACACACAGCGCAACACACCAATTCAACAGTGTCTACATGTACAAATTAGTGACACTGATTACTTTCTTCTAGCTGTGTAACCATTCTCACCCTCCTTTTCTGAGTTGTTCTTCCCCATTCACATAAACTCACTGCCCCCTAAGGTTCCTATTTAATCTTTCAACTTGCTGTTGTCAATCTGATCCCATATAGACAGTTCTTAAAAAAGCATAATGCTCAAGGCAGACATTTTTTATTAGTTAAGCTATTGTTTGGTTTTAAGAAGACTTCAGAGATTTTTGGTTTAAAGGTTAAAGATTATCTCAGGGCAATAGTTTTGGGGGTTCATCCAGCCTTCATGGCTCTAGAAAGTCTGGAGTTCATGAAAATTTGAAATCCTGTTCTGCATTTTCCCCTTTTGATCAGGATTCTTCTATACCAATTTGTTTTTTATTCTAGCAGTAATGTATATGACTATAAAATAGACTTACAGCAAAATATATTGCTGATAAAGTATTAAAATTAAGTTTCAAAGTTATGTGAAATATAATAGTTATGACCATTAAAAGAATTACTGATCTTTAATGAATGTAATTCAAATGAGCCCCATTTCCTTCAATGTAGCCACCTTAGTGGTGTTACCATTCCTCAAAACAAGTACAGAATTGGTTTTAGAGGCCCTGGTATATTCTTTTGCCTATCTTTATATTGTGCAAAATGATTTTTTTTCTGAAGATGAATGTGAGTGCTTTTTGGAACAGTCAATTATTCAGAGTTAAGCCTGAAATATGGTCAAACTGGCTTATCCTACTTATGAGTCATAAACTGGTCTTAAAGAGAAATTCCAAAGAGGAGATCTGAAAGCATTCTGAGCAATGGAGTAAAGGATATGGCTTCCTAAAGTGACTACTAGAAGAAAAATGTTTGCATGGACATTTAAATTCTGGTACGTATTAAAAGGTAGTCTTGTCAAGTCATATATTAGAGTATCTTACATTCAGAAAACACAAAGTTACCACAGTTATGTAGACCTTCCATAAGACTTACCCAATGTCATCAGAGAGGCAATCAACAGCCATCCAGCTTGTGTGCGCTGAGCTGAAAGGCGACTGTTTTGAGCTGCAGAACACAGCAAATCCTCTGCTAATGTCATAATAATCTATTTATGATTAGAAGAATAAGGTTAAAAAAAAAAGGCATATCAGTTTATAGGTTACTAAAGAAATGACAGGAACTAATAATAATCTCTAGCAATATTAACTCTTACATATAATAAATGCAAGTGATGAAGGACTGTCATTCATGCAGACTATACTAAAGGACTATGTCATAAAGGAAAGTAAAAAAAAAAAATTAAGTATTCAAGGTTAAATACTACTGTATTGGGTAGTACACAGCAACCCTGTTAATTCTTTGTAGAGTATATGCAACAAAATTGTAAGACTGTTCAAGTATAGCTGTACTGAGTTTGAATTTATTTTTAGCTTTAAGCAATTATCCTCCTAGATATATAATTACCAGAAAAGTTTCATTACAGGAGTTACAGCTCCCTTTTAAAAATTCTATACACCTAAGTGACTGAAAACAGTCTTTCTATAGGCAATATACTATCGTAGTTAAAAGTAGTAAAATAGTCTCACATTATAGTAAGTTTCACAATAGAGGATTCACTAAAATGTTACATTGTAAAAGTCTTATGAAACAGGCAGTTATAAAATAACGGGGGAAAAACCAAATGTCTCATATTTAAGGATAATGTATATTTAGGCTGTACAAAGACCAGGAGGCATCTAATCAACATCTCTGTCACCAATCACCTCCGGAAGCGCATCAAGTATTACGAGTTGACATACAGATTTTTCTAGCCACACTTGCAGACGTTATGGAACGACAGCCTGTCACCTATGTTCCATAGTTAAAGTCTCAAAGCATTCCAGAGAGCCAGTAAACAGATATTGTTTTCTTTGATACCCCCTAGTTGGCTGACTCAAAAACATGTCTAGACTGACTTCACTGGTAGCTGCCAGCTAACCAGTTTACCAAAAAATGTGCAAACAAGATTCATTGTTCCCATACTGTCTGTAGTTTTTCCTCTCTCCTTTTTCTTTTATATAAAAATTCTATTTTTGCCTTTGATGGATGACATCATTTTACTGATTGATCTCCTTTATATGCAAGCAACAGTGTGCTAATAATTAACTAAATGTCTTTGAGTTATCGATACCAGTTATCCCCAGATGGAATTTTAAAAACATTTACCCAGAGAAATATTATTAAAACTCTGAAAGTTCTATATAATGCTATTAGATTAGTGGTATGTTTCAGGTACAATTTAAACTACAAAGGTTTTTATAAGATGATTTGAGAACGCAACTTTGACTTTTTAATTTCCAGGGCTTCGAACTGGTACATTCCAGTTTGACCTTCTGCTGAGAATTTGCATTTCCACCCAGATATACTGAATCAGAATCAATATTTTAACAAGATCCCTATGTGTTTCTTTTTAAACATAATCTTTTAAAAAGGTAGATTCTGATTCAATATATACAGGATGGAAATGAAAATTCTCAGCAAGGGGTTGAATCAGAATGAACCGGTCCAAAGCCCTGGTTATTTCTAAAGAGAAAGGCTAGTGTAGTTTAAAACTACCAATCAACTTACTACTAATTTAGGTCCACCTGCAATCTATACATAATGGATGGCACTCAAAAAGAATGAGGTCAAAACAAATCAATCTAGGTGACATTAGGACAAGTGGATATTCTCTCAGAAAGTTCAAATACAATATACCCAACCCATTGCTCTCAAGTCAATGACAACTCATAGTGACCCTACAGGACAGAGGAGAACTGCCTCATAGGGTTTCCAAGGAGTGGCTGGTGGATCGAACCGCTGACCATTAGGTTAGCAGCTGAGCTCTTAACCACTGCGCCACCAGGGCTCTGAACACAATATGGACGATGGGAATCTTGTCTGTCTGAATTAATGAGATTCAAGGATATTAAGTTTAGATAATTCTTTACTCAGCACGGGGTGATATGTGCTGATTCAGAATATAGCTAAAATGATAATAAATTTAAATGAATAATACCACCTCCCAAAGCTGTCAATCACCTTACTACAAATGTACTGCCAAAGCTCAAAACAGATTTGGAATTTTTAGAAGTTATAATATGTTCTTTTGCATAAACTAAACTGTGGGGGATATACTATTATATTCATTAATAATGCCACAGGAGTGACAATAAGAAAGAATGGTGACAAGAAAGTTAGGGGGCAGTGAGTTCATGTTAATGATGGAGGAATAATTTAGAAAAGGAGGGTGAGAATGGATGCACAACCTGAAGAATGTAATCAGTATCACTGAATTGTACTTGTAGAAATTGTTGAATTGTGTACGATTTGCTGTATACACTGTCGTCAACAACAACAATAAAAATAAATTATTAAAAAAAGAAACAATGGTGACTTGTTTCTTCAAAAACACTTATACGCATGTGAGGCCTGGGTTATGAGGGCTTTTGTTGTTAACAATATTAATATTCTCTGATAAGTTGCATTTCCCAGTTATCCAAAAAGAAAAAAAAAAAAAAACCCCACATTATCCTTTGAAAAAACAAAAACCAAACTTCTGTAGTTTTCTTCAAAATTCTTTGTACATTAAAACTGAGTTATTTACTCACTAGGTTCTATATCATTTATCCAGAAACCTACATTTTTAGGTAGCTATACAATTATTTTGGCTTTTTTTTTTTTTTTAAAGTTATCATTATGAACTCATGGGGTCTTATATTTTTAATGAGCTTTAAATCCACAGTAGTCAATAAATTATCCTTTTTGATGCTCAAATTATCCCATCTTAGGTCAGCAGGAGTCCCTTAAGTTGTCTCCTGTGGCCCTTCAACATGAATTCAGTAGTCTTTGATGACTTCCTTGCTCTCTGGAATGACCCAGGCTTATATTGTGCATTTCCTGCCACAGACCTGGTACCAGCCATTCCCTCACGGAGTCTTGATTCCTTTTGGTGGAACTGGTATTCAAAACTACAGTCTAGGCACTAGGGATATCCCTGCTATCGAGCTGTCGTCATTTTTAGGCCTCTTCACTGGACAGAGTGAAGACGTAAATATTAAAATTTTTAAATGAAATAATAAAATTATTAATTCATACTGACACAGCTAATTCAAACTTTATATATGGAGTTTTTTGCTTAACTTTCTTGATTCTATAGCTGTAGCTCTTTTTTTCTTAAATAGAAAATAAAGATTCCTAACAACATTAATGTTAATTATTTATCTAGTTTATCTTACTATATATAAGCTAATTTCAAAATAACACCATCAATAATACCACTAACTATAAGATTACTGAATGAAATTTAAGATTTCTTTTGCGGCTCTACTTGTCCTTTACAATGTAACTTTAAATGCACTTATATGGTACGGTTAGATATACAGCAAAATAAAACCTTCATGATCAAATTCTGTTACTAAATGGAGCTATTTCTAGCAAAAAAAACCACAATACAGCACTGCTATTTAAGTGTGGATAAAACATTTCTTTGTTTTTCCACAGTAATTATGTTCATAATATTTAACACTTTTAGGAGTAGTATGACTGATCACTCAAGTATTTGCCCTGCGAGGCTTTGACTAGGCAGTACACAAAAAGAGTACGTTTTTAGGAAGAACTTGAAACATCATTATTGTATACGGAGAATGAAATCCTTACCTTGCCTTTTCCATGAGGAATTCCTAAAGGACAATGTTTCACTGCTCCCAACAAAGCTGCCACAGCAAAACTAAAGCCAGTCACTGCTTCGGGGGAAGACTTAAGTACAGAAAGTCGTTCAAGGCAACGGTCTAAGAGTGGTGTTAGGTAGGAAGGTAACGCCACAGCAATGCAGTGTAAACACCAAGCTGCTGCTAGTCGAACGGATATGCTAGGATGAAGAATAACTGAAATGACACTGTCAAGAATGCCTAGAAGGAAGAATAGGCAGATGACTTAGGTACACAGACAAAACTCAGCCATAAAATAGTCACACGTGGATACAAAATATATTTTAATCCGAAGTCAAATGTTTATAAATAATTTTTATATCCAAGAATTACTTCTACTAATTTCTTATGAAAACTAGCTTAAATTAAGTCAAGATAAACAAAAGAAACTTTTTATTTCCTGAAATGAGCCAATGTTGTGTTTACTTTATCTTGAGATCATTACCAATTTGGTACTAGGAATTAAAAATTATCAATAAATAACAAAAACACCTTGAGAAGAAATGTCACATTTTGCCTGATCTTCTGTTTTTTTCCTCCCTTCTATTATACCTATCTATATATTTAGTACAAATACTATCTACTGTACTCCTTTTACCTGAGAACAAAATGTTAAATAAAATTGAGGCTTTGCTGGGTTCTCAGTGGGCTACTAACCCACCATGAAGACAGTAAAGTGCTTCCACAAGTAAGAAAAAAGTCTATATTTGCTATGGTTCAACAAATACCTTCATCAAAACATACCACAACAGGTTCATGTGGACTGCTACTTAAATTATATGTGTCCTATGGTTAAATAGCTTACAAACAAAATAACAACGTAAAGCTTTTCAGTCAGTGGGAAATGTGTATCACAGTCAAAGGATAAAAGCTATTAAAAAGGTTTAAAAACATGAACAAATAAGCCAGTCATAAATGACCACAAACTGCAGGATTTCATTTAAATGAAATGTCAAGAACAGGCAGATCGAATCCAGACAGATTAGGGGCTGGGATTAGGGTGGGACGATGGGGTGGGGGTGGGGGTGACTGCTTAAGGGTATAGGGTTTCCTTTTGGGGCGATGAAAATGTTTCAGAAGTAAATAGTGGTAACGGTTGCATGACTGTGACTATATGAAAAACCACTGAATTATATACTTTAAAACGGTGAATTTTACAGTATATGAATTAATTCTCAATAAACCTACTATAAAAGAAGAAAGATGAAATAATTTTCAAAGACAAAAATAATAAAGAGTGAAAAGACCTTTGAGGAAATGAATTACTTGTACCATACAGAAACTCATATTTTCACTGCAGATAAGAAATTTGAGTTCAGCTTCATTTCTCTTTTAAGTTCTTCCATATTACCTTAAACATCTCCATAAAGGAGAGGGGCTGTTTAGAGACCAACCTCTAATTAAGAAAGCAAAAGAGATTCAAATACATACATATTTTTCATAACCTTTCTTACATGTACTTCATAAGACATCCCTAATAAACCTAAAGTGGAATCCCTAACAACTGAACACTATTAGGGAGATTCCCTTTCTTAGAACAGTTGTTTAGAGTTAAAGTAAAAACAAGGTATTCAAAGCAGCCACAAACAATAGATATACCTGTACTTGAATCTTGTAGCAAAGGTGCAGCTGTGGTGCTAAGACTGTGTATAAGATTTCCAAGTTCTTGTAAAGCACATATCAGCATATTCTGGCTGGCTGCTACATCTGTGGATCCAAGCTGGGCTTCCAAATTACCATCACTCATTACGGCATCTGATTAAAGTGTAAGAATTAACTATGCAATCACTGTTTTATTAAAATATATTGTAGGAGTGATTATTACAAGGAAAAAAGAATAAATGCAAAAATTAAAACATCATTTAAATCTATATGAAACTCTTGAAGCAGTAACTAAAATACTAAAGTGGGAACTTACATCAATAAAGGAAGAATTAAATTAATGTAATTTGATTTAGAAGAGTACCGGGCGGCAAAAGAGCCCTGGTGGCACAGTGGTTAAGAGGTTGGCTGCCAACCAAAAGGCTGGCAGTTTGAATCCACCAGCCACTCCTTGGAAACCCTATGGGGGCAGTTCTACTCTATCCTATAGGGTTGCTAGGAGTCAAAATCGACTCACCGGCAATGGGTTTGGTTTTGGTTTTGGTTTTGGTTTGGGTGGCGAAAATGGTTAACAGGCTTGGTTGGTGGTTCAAGCCCATCTAGATGCTCCTTGGAAGAAAGGTCTGGTGATCTACTTCTGAAAAATCAGGTATTAAAACACTATGGAGCACAGTTCTACTCTGGCATACATGGGGTTGTCATGAGTTAGAATCAACTTGACTGCAGTCAGTTTTAATGTGATTTAGTTCAAACAACCTTGATTTATATCCCTTATTACTCTTTAGCAACTGGCATTGAAAGAGAGAACTCAAGGGAAACTAAAAAAGATTCTGATTTTAATGACACTCAAGATAAGCAGAGTGCATTTAGTATAAGAACTGAGATGGACTAAATTGTTTCAAAAACAATTTATCTTAACTTCTACAGGAAGCAGACCATGAATTCTGAGATACTATTATCACAAGCCTTCAAATTTTAAACTGTTTAACATATATGATAGTTCTTATCAAGTCAGATAATTTACATCTGACCTATATATTAATTTCTTTATCCTGAAACAACTAACCTCTATTATAAAAGTTTTTATATTAACATAGTAATATACCAGTCTAGGGTTTCCAAAGGGACAAATTCTTTAGCACTGCTAAACAGACAGTCTTAGTAGATCCATACCTACAACTTTCTTTTGTTTCCAGATGGCCTGGCAAATATCCTTGGCAGCAGCAATTTGAGCCTTTTCTCCAAGAAGGCCTCCTATAGTAGCTCGAAGGATGAATGAAACACAACGGCGACAGCAGACAGCATCAATCTGGGTTTGGGTGGCTTTAGAGTTCGACTGTGACACGAGGCTTAGGATATGAGAAAGAAAGGCAGCGAAATTTCTCTCTAGCCAAGCTCCTCCGAGTGTTGAAACAAATACAACATAAGCCTAAAAAAAAGAAAGGAATTTTATCTTTAAAATGAAATCATTTCAATGATATATTAATATTTTCTCTTCTATAAAATATGCTGGATTTACTAAAGCCAAAACTGAAGCACATAGGCCTTTCAACTGAGATTTCATTTATGCTGCCTGTCTGTTTTACTTTGGTCAGCCTGTACGAGGTTTCAGGATAGCCAGCGCAGTCAGCTAAATATGTAATACATGTCCGTGACTTTTCTGAACTAAAGTTTCAAGCTACTTAAAATTCTGAATAAGAAAACCCAAATCAAACAGATGAACACACTGTAAGAATTAACTATGCTCCAACACTATAACTCTAAGGGAATCTGGGTTCTAGAAATCTGAAAGGAATGTTTACAGTGAAGAATTGCTGCTCTTTATTTTTATCAATATCAATGGTTTGTCTTATTACAAAGATACAAAGACAACTAGTTTTCTTATGTAATCGGTTTCTTAGAAGCACATAGTCTAATTACAATTATATTGGTACTTCCTATATTTTCAAGAAGTCTAATATTACAGTGTATAAAACAATGAGGACAATGGTGAATTTTCAAAAATATAAGTTTGCTCTGAACCATGACGGCACTAGGAAAAAAGACTGTTAAAGGAAAGAATGCAGAGGCCTCCGCGTTGTTTTATTCTAAGATATTTTTTCTAAGAGTTATGCTTTTTTAATTTTGTTTAGGACGAAGAATTTAAGCACTTAATGGATTACAAGCTGTAATCTTTATTTAGGAGTTGAAATCATATAAAGTGGAAATATTGCCCATGCCGAATAATATATACCTAACGGCTTCGATTTTTACTGTACGAACCCACAAACAATGGAAAACATGTTAAACCACAAGACACATGAAAATTTAAGGCCTAGAAACAAACAAAAATAGTGTTGTTTGTGTTTCAAAGGAAACAAACAAAATTCCTCCATTATTAGGATGAGTTAATTAAACACACTGTGTAATAGCCTCATATTTAGTTTGCTTTGCTCAGGGTAAATAAGGTTCTCTTACTTGTAACCTAGTTTTTAAAAAAATGGCCTCACAACTTCAATTTATGATTATGAGAACTTAACTATAACCTTGCATGGTATCACTTCTACCTGGAGTTAGATACTAAAACTTTCATTATAGGCCAGTGAGGGTTACATTTGGATTCTGATTTGTGATTCCAACCTGAGTAACTCCAACTCGAACATCCCTACTGACTGAACTGGTTCCTTTCAGCATATCTCCACTGGCTCGAAGAAATCCTGAACTCCCACGTAGAAACCCTGTTCCTAGCAATTCCAGAACTTCCTCCAGAGATACTTTGCGAATGCTTTGACGTGAGGCTGCTATAACGAAGAACAAAATAAAACCGTGATTCATATTTTACAGACTAAATTTTAATGCATGATTTTGATTTGCAAAAAGCCAATGTTAATAGAAACAAAAATAAACTAAAAATTCAAACAAAATGCAAAATTTACAGGACATTAGACACATTAATGCACAAAATAAGTCACAGAAGGGTTCTGAGGTCAAGTCAGAATATAGCCTGAACTACCGTGTCAGTGACATCTTAAAGTCTGCACCACTTTGATATCACGCCCTACTGCTCTTTTCCTCAAATGTAGATAAAACAAAGAAGTGAAAAGGCTAACCACCTGTATACTTTAGAATAAAAAAAAAAGTAAACTTCTCCAGTTCTCCAGGATGAAATCAGTATCCAATGTCTTGAAAATTCTTTTGAAATACTAAAAGTGAACAAAATTTTTTTTTATTTTCCCAAAAGCTCTGTGACTCTTAACGAAATTTATATAAACTAACCACCATGTTCAATTTTCTAAATTCCCAAATGGCTGCACAACTTTTGTTATTTCCTCCACCTATCAAGAAACCAAAACTAAGTATTACTAGAACCACTCAGCAGCCTTTAGGCTACAGTAATTAAGAGGTCTTGGTCAGGGCAGGAATGTTTGTTTGCCATTAATGTGATACAGCTGAGTTTCTCCCTGAAGTCTACAGTATTCTCAAATCAACTGGGTCCTTAAAAAAAAAAAAAAAGGACCATTTTTTCCCTTTGATTCTTCTGAAAAATGATGGTTATAACCTCTGACATTTACAGACTCAAGCCACACAGCAGTGGAGAAATAAAATTCTGTTAAAGTTATGAACAAAGAATCAAATGCTGAACTTTAAAAAGGAGATAACCATCTGAGACCAATGAAAATCTATTCTGACATTTGGAACAGAAACATCGGTAGGAAGAAAACAAACACAAAATCTATGCCCTTATGGATCATAAATTCTAGGAAGGAGAGAAAACAACAAACATTAACAAATGACTGAACATAGGCCAAAAAACCAAACCCACTGCCACTGAGTTGATTCCAACTCACAGCCACCTGCGTCGGGTTTCCAAGGCTGTAAATCCTTAGGAAGCAGACTGCCACATCTTTCTCCTGCGGAGAGGTTGGTGGTTTCAAACCGCCTACCTCTTGGTTAGCAGTCGATCGCTTTAACCACTGCACCACCAGGGGTCCTTTCGCTAAATATATACTATGTGAGATACCGATTAAGAGTAATAAGAGAAAACAGAACTGGGTAAATGAGGTCAGGAGCACTGGGGGGTGGGTGCAAGTGTTGATCATTTTAAATAGGGTCATTAGGTTAGGACTCACTGAGAGAATGACATTTGAACACTGTTTGAGAGTGGTAAAGGAATTAGCCATGCACGTTATCTGGAGAAAAGAGCATTCTAGACAGAGGAAACAGGTAAGGAAAAAAGGCCTTGATGCCTAGTGTGCTCCAGCAGAGCAATATGGATGGAGCAGTGGAGGGGTCTAGTGGGAGAGAGGACAGAGTGTACAAATAGGGAAGGGATAGATGACACAGGACCCTGAAGGCCATTATAATAATAGTGTGGGTGAAATGAGGAGCCAGTGGAGGACTCTGAGCAGAGAAGTGATATAATCTGACACTCTGCTGCTGTGCTGAGAACAGACTGCAGAGGAGGGTAGGGGTGGAAGTATGGAGATGGATTAGGAGTAATTTAGTAATTCAGGCAGGAGATGATGGTGTCTGAGAGCAAAGAGGTTGCAGTGCAGTGGATGGAGTCTGGATATACATACATATACATTTTTAACCTTTTTATTAGAAAAAAATTGAAATGACAGAAAAGCTGCAAGAATAGTACAATGAATTCTCATATGCTCTTCACCTAGACTCGCCGTATTTTATCACTTTCGTATCATATATATATATGTATTTCTTACTGAAACATTTGAAAGTAACATTGCAGATGTCAAGACCCCTAGCCCCTAAATATCCTAAGAACAAAGACAGTCTCTTATACAACCAGTGCATTACTATCACCTGAAGAAAACTTAATATTGATAGAATATTATCTAATATGCAATCCATAGACAAACTTCACCAATGTGCTTTATATTTATAGCCCATTTTTTGTCCAAGCCATGATCATGTATTACATTTAACTGTCATGCTTCTTTAGTCTCCTTAAATATATGTTAGCACAGTTCTTCAACCTTTGTCTTTCATATTGATATTTTTGAAGAACACATGTATGATCAGTTGTTTAAAAGAACAGCCCTCAATTTGAGTTTGTTTGGTATTAGAACTTCTGGCAGGAAAACTACATAAAAGATGTTGTATCCTCAGTGCATAACATCAAAAGACAGTGGCAGGCAAGGTGTCAGTCTGTCCCTACATTATTAACATCAACCTTGAACACTAGAAAAAATGTGGGTTTGCCAGGTTTCTCCACTGTAAAATTACCATGTTTCCCTTTGTAATTACTATGTAACCTGAGTGGCAAGACTTTAAAATGGCATAAATACCCTGTAATCTATCAAACTTGCATCCGAGACTACTGATGATTCTTATCTGCATAATTATTATAATGATTGCAAAAATGGTCATTTTCTAATGATCATTACTTCTACATTTATTAGCTGGCACTCTACTATAAAAAGAACTTTCTATTATTCCCTTTTATTTATTTTCCATATGTACTCATAATCTTTTTTTATTTAATAGGGTATAATACATTTCTGTCATTACTTATTTTGATTGTAATACTGTTCTGGGCTTGCCCAGTGGACGTCTCTTCTGAAAGCTGACCAGTGGAAACGCCTTACTTTTTGGCAAAACAAGATGTTCCAGGCTCATCTTGGCCCTGGCCTTTCCCAACCCAAAAATCAGCCATTTCTCCAAGGACTACAGGTTCTGGATATGTTTATAAGATGGTCAAGATGATTAGAGGTCGGATGTGAGAGAAACAGAAAAATCAAGGATGACTTCAAAGATTTTTGGCTTGAATAACTGCAAGGATGGATGGAGTTTTCATCAACTTAGATCAGTAGGCCTGCAAGTAGAGCACATGTGTGTGTATGTGTGGGAGAAGGGCAATCAACGTATTTCAAACAAGTTTGAAATATCAAGTTGGTATCTGAAGAGAGAGTCAAATGGACAGCTGGATATGAGAGTCTGGCGTCCAGGAGAGAACGACGGGCTAAAAATATAAATCCAAGAATCACTGGTATATGCTGTTGTTGTTAGGTGCTATCAAGTTAGTTCCGACTCATAGCGACCCTATGTACAACAGAATGAAACATCACTCAGTCCTGCGCCATCCTCACAATCGTTGTTATGCTTGAGCCCACTGTTGCAGCCACTGTGTCAATCCACCTAATTGAGGGTCTCCCTCCCTTTCACTGACCCTCCACTGTAAATGTGCTTTACAGTGATGTCCTTTAGCGTGATGTCCTTCTCCTGAGACTGATCCCACCTGATAATACGTTCAAAGTACGTGAGACATAGTCTCGCCATCTTCTGGTTGTACTTCTTCCAAGACAGATTTATTCGTTCTTTTGGCAGTCCATGGTATATTCAACTTTCTTCATCAATATCACAATTCAAAGGCATCAATTCTTCTCTGGTTTTCCTTATTCATCGTCTAGCTTTCACATGCATACGAGATGACTGAAAACACCATGGCTTTGGTCAGGGGCATCTTAGTCTTCAAGGTGACATCTTTGCTTTTTTAACACTTTAAAGAGGTCTTCTGCAGCAGATTTGCCCAATGCAATGTGTCGTTTGATTTCTTGACTGCTGCTTCCATGGGTGTGGATTGTGGATCCAAGTAAAATGAAATCCTTGACAACTTCAGTATTTTCTCCATGTATTATGATGTTGCTTATTGGTCCAGTTGTGAGGATTTTTGTTTTCCTGATGTTGAGGTGTAATCCATACTGAAGGCTGTAGTCTTTGCTCTTCATCACTAAGTGCTTCAAGTCCTCTTCACTTTCTGCAAGCAAGGTTGTGTCATCTATGTAATGCAGGCTGTTAAAGAGTCTTCTTCTAATCCTGATGCCACATTCTTGTTCATACAGTCCAGCTTCTCGGATTATTCCCTCAGCATACCAATTGAGCATACGCAGGTATATAGATGATAGTTAAGCTATAAGAATGGATAAGATCACCAAGGGAGTGAACATATGTAGAGAAGAACAGAAAACCAAGTACTAGGCTATGGGGCACTCCTCTAGGTTAAGGTGAGAAATCAGCAAAGATTGTACTGGAACATCTAATGAGGAAGAAGGAAAACCAGTGAGCAAGCGGTCCTAAAAGCTAGGTGAAAAAGAATCTGGAGGATGATCAACCTTTTTAAACACTGCTGAGAGGTCGAGTAAGATGATTGAGAACTGCCGACTGATTTTAGCAAGACTGCCCTGGTGGCGAGGGGGTTAAGCATCTGGCTGCTAACGAAAAAAGGGCAGCAGTTTGAATTCACCAGCCACTTCTCGGATAGTTCTAATCTGTCCTATAGGGTCGCTATGAGTCGGAATCGACTACAACGGCTATGGGTTTGGTTTGGTTTTGGTTTATATATAAGAACTTAAGTTCCACAAGGGCAAAGGCTTTTGCCTGTTTTTTCAACAACATTACCAAATGCTCAGAACAGGTCCAAGCCACGGTAAACAATAAATATTTGTTAAATAAATAAATGGATGTGAAGGTAACCTTCACAATAACAGTTTTGGTGGAATGACTGGGAAAAACCCTAACCGAAATGAGTTTGAAAGACATGGGAAGAGAGGAACTAAAGACAGTGAGTATCAACAGCTCTTCTGATGAATTGTGGCTACAAAAGGATGAAGAGAAATGAGGCTCTGGATGGCTGAGGATGTAAAGGTACAAGGTTTTATTTCTGTTCTTTTTTAAGAGGGAAGAAATAAACGCATGTTTGTATGCTGTAGGGAATAACCCAACAGAGAGGGGAAAACTGGTGTAGAAGAGAGAGGGGAGATTTCCTAGGGTAGTGTCCTTCAGCAGGTGAGAGAATGAGCTCTAATATACATTGAAGGGACTGGCTTTAATAGGAGACCAGAAAATTCATCTCAGTAACACTGGAAAAGTCATAAAGTGTATGGGTACCGATGCTGGTAGGTGAATGGATGTGGTAGGTGAAGTCTATGGAAGACAGGCCATCAAATGAAAGTGAGATGAGGGAAGAGGTTTGAGGTGAGAAAAAAGGTATAAAACTGTCAACTATGAAGTTGGAGAGTGAATGGACTAGGGAAATATAGTGTGATTGCGAGGCATGGTTAAGGTACATGATCAGGAAGTAATTTTAAAAGATTACATGAATCCCTGGCAACTTATCTCACTGTCAGGAAAATGTCCATACTCAATCTCCGCTTTTTAAGTGCCTTAGTATGACATACTATCTAACCGAAGTCTGTTAGTTTTACTAGGAAAATCATTCCACTTCTTTACTTCGTAGTCTTTGCATATTGTGACTGAATTATACAAACCATCATCATGTTTGCTTTCCAAATTACTAAGCACTATGTTGTCAACTCTTAGTGACTACTTAAAAAAAAAACTATTATGACATCTAGACCACTTTTTAGTTGTACAAAAATAACTCAATTTTAACACAACTAGAACTTACAGATACAAAATAATAGAATTTCTGACAAAAGATTAAGCCAAAGTTTTTTAGTGTGGATGAAGCTGTTTTTCATTTTATTTAGTGGGACTACAAAAATGCCAGTATTAGTTTAGTGCTATTGTATAGGAGCCCATAAGTTTAAATATTATTTATATTTATCATGCAATTCTACATTTTGTTTGTTTTTACTACAACTATTCACTAGTACTAACAACACAATTATAGAAATGAGCAATTTACATTTTCAGGAGAGTTTAATTAAACACATCTTCCAATTTCTTAGGTTACTTAAAATTTAATCTCTTAAATATCCTAACTTTTTTCCTTCCTTTTTTACAGGTTAGGTTTCTTTGTGGCTCCCCCCACCCCAAATAAATAAAAAGTCTAAGTGAGTTTCAAGATTAGAAGAGTTACAATAAAACAATCTTATTATAAATTTTAAACCACTGGGTCTTAACTGGAGATACACAGGACCACCTGTCCTCTCTCATCTCTGGCCGAAAAACACTGCTTTAGAAAAAAACTAGAATCTTCCTGTCTTAGTTATCTAGTGGTGCCATAACAAAAATATCACAAATGGATGGCTTTAGCAAACAGAAATTTATTCTCTCATAGTCTAGGAGGCTAGAAGTCTGGATTCAGGGTGCCAGCTCCTAAGGAAGCCTTTTTCTCTCTGTCAGTTCTGGGGGAAGGTCCTCATCATCAATCTTCCCCTGGTCTAGGAGCTTCTCAGCACAGGGACCCCCGGTCCAAAGGACATGCTCCATTCCTGGCTCTTCTTTCTTGGTGGTAGGAGGTCCCTCTCCTCTCTGCTCACTTCTCTCTTTCATATTTCAAAAGACACTGACTCAAGATACAATCTAATCCTGTAGATTGAGTCTTGCCTCATTAACATAACTGCTTCTAATCCTGCCTCATTAACATCACAGAGGTTAGGATTTACAACACATAGGATACTCACATCAGATCACAAAATGGTGGATAACCACACAATACTAGGAATCATGACCTAGTCAAGTTGACACATATTTTGGAGGGACACAATTCAATCCACAACACTTCCTTTATGTAGCAATGAAAAATTTCTAGACCAATGCTTCTCATTAAGCTTTAATGCGCATGTAAAGCATCTGGAGATTTTGCTAAAAGGAGAACTTCTGTTAAGTTGGGCCTGAGGTTTTGCACTTCTTATAAACTCCCAGATGATGCCAGTGTTGCTGTCTGAGGAGTAAAGTACTATATAACAATTACATTTTTATTTTTGTGACAGAGTTTAATCTTGGGGAACAGAATGATAAAATGAGTTTTTGATTATTCTAAACCAAACCAAACCGTTGGCCATCAAGTTGATTCCGATTCATAGCAACACCACAGGACAGAGCAGAGCTGCCCCATAGGGTTTTCAAGGCTGTAATCTTTACGGAAGCAGACTGCCACATCTTTCTCCCACCGAGCAGCTGGTGGGTTCAAACTGTTGACCTTTTGGTTAGCAGCTGAGCACTTTAACCTCTACGTTACCAGGGCTGTTTTTGATTATTCATCAGTGTCTTATATACAGTATAGGCTATTGTTGTAGTTAGCTGCAACTGACCCATGTGCAGAGTAGAACTGCTCCATAAAGTTTTCAAGGCTGTGACCTTTCAAAAGCAGACTGCCAGCGCTGTCTCCGGAGGTACCTCTGGGTGAATTTGAACTGCCAACCTTTTGCCTAGTAGTCGAGCACTTAACTGTTTGCACTACCCAGGGACTTCTACACTACAGATTACACACAGGCAAACTCCCTTGTTTTCAAAGAATACTCCATCCTTGCTGATTGTCTAGAAGTATATAAACAAGAAATAAAAGGAAACACAAAGTAAACTGTCCAAATACAGTACACTGCAAATACCTGTTGTTTGGAATGATCTACATCATTGATCCCTTACACTAACCCAGAAAATGGCAAGCCAAATGCATATACACACACATATATATATACACATATACATATGATGCTTAAAAGAAATTCTCCAAGATTTAGATCATATTTCTTACTGCAAATGACACTTCAAAGCTTACTTTTTAAAAATGGGCCAGAACAGAAAGGAAGACAATGACTAGATAAAGCACATTACTTGAGAAGTTCACTTTTTTCTCTCAGGACCTAATGCAATGTTTACACACTGAAACTGGTTTCTATCTTGCCTCTTTTTAAAAGTAATAACGGGTAGCAATAATGTTGCACATGTTTGTTTAAATCAACAGGGAAATATTTACTGATGACATTCTAAAAATAATTACATGAATTTTACCTGCTCCTGGATGTACAGAATTTATAGCTTTAGCCAATAATGTCCCCAGCAGCTTTGAAACGGAAATGCGCACACCATAACTGGAACCTTCAAAGGACTTAAAACATAGTGTGGCCACACTGTCCAGGTCTGTGCTCCACATAAAGACAGCCTCATTCTGAAGTTCAAGAAGACACTACTCAGTTGAAAAAAAAGAAATTAATAAAAAACAAAATATAAATGTCAGGCCCACACCAATATAAGCTACAGAAACTATAAAGATTAACAGAAATAATATATAAATTCAAAGTATCTAAAAAATGATTGCAGGCACAACACTTGCTAAAAGTCATAAAAATTATACCATATAAGGCAGTGCTCCCACAAAGGGCTGGTAGGGGAGGAGGAACCATTTATAATTCAGTAGGCTATGAAAAATGAATTAATCTGTTGGTTATGAGCAAATGGGAGAATAATCCCAACATAAAAAAACAGCTTAATTGTACTATCGAACCAACTAATCATGCTAAGAAGACTTGATTAAAAACAAAACATAACAATTCACTTTCAAACAATATTAAGCCTTATATGTAAATTTTAGTTTCCAGAATTATAGAAAGGAAGCATAATGGAGTGGAATGAGTACTTAGGGCCAGGGAACTTGAACTCCCACCCTCTGACAATGTGTTACAAGTTACCTGAAGAACCTTGGGAAATCCACATAACCCTCTAGGCCTCAGTTTATTCATATGTTAAAACGAGATAGTTAGTCCTAGGTTGTAGCTCTAAGATCATAGAACTGTTACTAATGCTTCCACAGCAATAAAATGGCTTCATTTTCTTTATATGAATTTTTTAGAAAGTCTGCTTATAAATTTTACCTTTGCAGCAGCGCAACGAACTGCCATGGATCTGTCTGTTAAGCATGATCTAGCAGCTTTATAAACATCCCTGTGGCAAGGTGTAGCAGCAGCTCCTAGTCCATTCAATATATTTTGCAGACTTAGCATAATCTCGTATCTACCTTGAGACTACCAACAAAGAAAAGAAAATATGTAAAGGATTTTAAATAAGGAAAAACAAAACTCCACTGTGAAGAACAGCAGGAAGCACTGATGTTTATCTTATGTATTAGAGAAATATTCAGATTTTTATACATACTAATCAACACATTGTGACATCAAGAAACACTAACAGTTGCAATTTTAATGAAGTGTTTATAATCTGAAAAATCTTATTTGTATATATTACATTTCCATCATATGTCTATATACATATATATATATATACACACACATTCTACTTGCCATTTTCTGGGTTAGTGTAAGGGAGCAATGATGTATGTAGATCATTCCAAACAACAGGTATTTGAAATCTACTCTATTTGGACAGTTTACTTTGTGTTTGTTTTTATTTCTTTTATAATTTTTTAAATTTTCTCCCGTACAAAAATTTATACATACATTGTTATGTGACTCTAATTGCTCTCCGTATACTGTGACAGCACACTCCTCGTTTCCACCCAATTACCCATGTCCATTCAACCAGCTCCTAACCCTCTCTGCCTTCCCATCTCATCTCCGGACAGAAGTTGCCCATTTAGTCTCTTGTATCTACTTGAGCTAAGAGGCACACTCCTCACAAGTATCACTTTATGTCCCACAGTCCAGTCCAATCCCTGTCTGAAGAGTTGGCCTCGGAAACTGTTTTCGTTCTGGGCTGATAGAGAACCCAGGGGCCATGCTTTCTGGGGTTCCTGCAGTCTCAGTCAGACTATTAAGTCTGGTCTTCTTACTAGAATTTGAGTTCTGCACCCCACCTTTCTTCTGCTCCATCAGGGACTCTCTGTCGTGTTCCCTGTCAGGGCGGTCATTGGTGGTAGCCCGGCACCATCTAGTTCTTCTGGTCTCAGGCTGATGAAGTCTCTGGTTTATGTGGCCCTTTCTGCCTCTTGGGCTAATACTTTCCTTGTGTCTTTGGTGTTCTTCATTCTCCTTTATTCCAGGTGGTTGAGACCAGTTGATGCATCTTAGATGGCCACTTGCAAGCTTTTAAGACCCCAGAGGCCACTCACCAAATTAGGATACAGAACATCTTCTTAATAAGCTTTGTTATGCCAATTGACCTAGATGTCCCCTGAAAGCATGGTCCCCGGACCCCTACCCCTGCTACTCTGTCCGTCAAAGTGTTTGAATGTATTCAGGAAACTTCTTAGCTTTGGTTTAGTCCAGTTGTGCTGACTTCCCCTGTAGTGTGTGCTGTCCTTCTCTTCACCTAAGATAATTCTTATCTACTGTCTAGTTAGTAAGTAACCCTCACTCTCCCTCCTCACCCTTGTAACCATCAAAGAATGTTTTCTTCTGTGTTTAAACCTTTTCTTGAGTTGGTGTAATAGTGGTCTTATACTGTTTTTATTTCTTGTTTATACACCTCTAGACAATAAGGATGGAATATTCTTTGAAAACAAGGGAGTTTGCCTGGATGTAATTTACAGTGTAGAAGTCCCTGTAGTGCAATCTCACAGGGTGGATGTGAAGATTAAATGAGATTATATTATGAGGTTATGGTTACTATAATAGAAATGTTATAATATAAATATAAATGGAAACCCTGGTGGTGTAGTGGTAAAGAGCTATGTCTGCTAACCAAAAGGTCAGCAGTCTGAAACCACCAGGTGCTCCTTGGAAACTCTATGGGGCAGTTCTAAAACTGCAGGCTCTGCCACCTACTAGTCACGACCTTGAGCATACCTGTTTTATCTGTAAAATGGAGACAAAAGCACCCACCACATATGAAGTGCTTAGTACAGTACCTGACATGTAATTAATGCTCAATAGATTTTATGGCTATTAACATTTTGCTATCTTTTATTGGTCTGGGTAGTTTAATACAGGTTAAGAGTCTGGGCTTTAGAATTAAAAAGACCTGGGTTTTAAATCTTGGTTCTGACCCTTAGCAGCTGTATGACTAAGTTTTTCTTATTTATTTCCTCATCTATATAATGAAGAGCCACTGGGAGAAGTAAGCCCCTGTGGGTAAAACATTCACCACAGTGCCTGGCACACTGAAAACACTCAAGGAACAGTAGATGCTTGCACTGTTTTGTTAGGTGCCGTGGAGTTGGTTCTGACTCATAGTGACCCTGTGTACGAGAGAACGAAACACCACCCGGTCCTTCACCTTCCTCACAATTGTTGTTACACTTGAGCCCATTGCTGCAGCCACTATGTCAATCCATCTCTTTAAATGTCTTCCTCTTTTTTGCTGACCATCTGTTTTACCAAGCATGATGTCCTTCTCCAGGGACTGGTCCCTCCTGATAATATGTCCAAAATATGTGAGACAAAGTCTCGCCATCCTTCCTTCTAAGGAGGATTCTGGCTGTACTTCTTCCAACACAGATTTGTTTGTTCTGGTAGTTCATGGTATATTTAATATTCTTTGCCAACACCACAATTAAAAGGCATCAAATCTTCTTCGGTCTTCCTTATTCACTGCCTAGCTTTCACATGCATATGAGGTGACTGAAAACACCATGGCTTGGGTCAGGCACACTTTAGTCCTTAAAGTGACATCCTTGCTTTTGAATACTTTAAAGAGATCTTTTGCAGCAGATCTGCCCAACGAAATGCATCATTTGGTTTCTTGAATGCTGCTTCCATGGGCGCTGATTGTGGATCCAAGTAAAATGAAATCCTTGACAACTTCAATATTTTCTCCATTTATCATGATGTTGCTTATTGGTCCAGTTGTGAGGATTTCT